ATGATAGGAATAGGTTTTGGTTTTTTTTCCCTAAATATGAAAGTAAAATCTCTTGCTTGTAAGATACGACTTAATACTTACTTTTTATTACAGGGGAGGAGGCCATGAGTTGCGATAGAGACCCATCAATCTCTAAGGCTTACTTGGTTTCTCTTTCTCAGAATTCTCCTTTGTCGTCCATTACACAGTCTGATGGGGTTAAATTGATCACAATGCTGCTCCATGATCAGTTTGCACAGAACCATTCATCTAATCAGAGTGGAGGCTCTAACCAAGTGGCTACTTTTGAGCACGAAGAATCCATCGAGAGTTTGGAGAAGCAAGAGATTGTTTTTAAACTGATAACACGTATTTTGGATAAAGTGAAAGTTGATTTTAAACTCCATGATCAGGTGAGTTCCATGGCAAAGAGACAGCTCCAGTCCATGCCTGCATTTCTCAAGGTAATGAATGCCCTTTTTGTTGTTCTTTGTTCCACTTCATGTAGTTAGTTAGGGTCACGGTCTAGATGATGATTTTGATTCTGCCTTTTGTTTCACAGTCTAGAAGAGGTGATTGGAATGACCAAGACACGGTTCTGAAAACTAGAGTCAATGCCAAACTGTTTGTTTATCAAGCTGCAGCTAAAATGAAAATAAAGAGTCTTATGTCCCTTGAAACAGATGAAAAGACATCTAAAAGGTTTGTTCTGGAGACTCTTACATTGCTATTAGATGCTGCAGATGCTTGTTTGACATCCGTGTGGCGGAAAATGAAGCCTTGCAAAAAACTGTTCAGTTCTCTGCTTTCTGGGGTTGCAAAGATGGCAGCAGAAAATAGAGAACAGCCATCACCATGTGCGCTGTTTATCCGACTTAAACCACTGGTACTAGCTGTCTGCGCACAGGTAATTTTGTTTTTGTGGCAACTCATGTGAGCTACATAGTCTTGTCTACTTATGGCTCTTAAGTATATTCTTGGACTTTTTAAGTGACTGATTGAGGTTTCTTTTTGTTGGAACAGCCTGAGACTTGGGTGAGAAATCAGGGGAATATGTTTGAGAGCATATTCAAAGCAAGTTGTGAGATTATTGAATCTGCTTGGGCCAAGGATCGAGCTTCAGTGGAAACCTTCATTGTGGGGTTTARTTCAAGTATTCGTGACAGAAACGATTATGAAGAGCAGGTTTACTCTAAAACTTTCCCTTTCTCTTAGCTGGCTTATTCATCTCTATTCTATTGCAGTATAGATCTAACTCTTTGATAAGCCTGACCATTTGGCCTTCAGGTCGAGAGAGAGAAGCAAGTTTCTGCTCTACAGCTGAATATAATACAGCTGCTTGCTGATATCACCATTGCTGTTAAAAAGCCTGAAGTAGCGGACATGATTTTCCCATTTTTTATTGAAAGGCTAGAAGAGGGTGATCCTTCAACTCCTAGCTCTTTGCGACTCCAAGTATGGCTATTATTCTATCTGTGTCACTTTCTCAAACTTTAGCAATGGAAACCGATATCTACTAGACTACTATATATACCCTTTTTCGTGAGATTTGTTTTTTCGTATATTTACGTATGCATCTATTGCCACTTATATGTAGCTTCTCGATGCTGTATCACGGATAGCAACATTAGGATTTGAGAAGTCCTACCGTGAGACGGTAGTTCTGATGACTAGAAGTTACTTGAGCATAATATCGAGGGTAGGATCTGTGGAAAGCAAAACACCAACACTGCATTCCATAACTGAGCACATAGAGGTAGGTATAATGTACTCTGATACATGGTTCATTTGGTGTGTTTATTTTTCATTTTTCGTTACACTAATGATCCAATTGCATTGCAGACTCTTTCTGTGGGATTTCTTACAATTGCTAGTGGTCTTATTAACACAAAACTGCGTGCAGACTATCGCCGTCGGCTGCTTTGGTTATGTTCGGATGTAGGCCTGGCTTCTGAGTCCAAAAGTGAAAGGTAATTAACCATTTATATGATCCTGACTTGTATAAAGCTATGGTTTGTTCGTTATGAATTAAACAGATAAACATTGAAAAAGAATATACAATTCTTGACTCAACAATAAGAGACATAGATTTGAAGGTTTGATTATTGAGAGTACCAATGGTGTGTTCATAGTGTCAACCTTAAAATTATATCAAACGCTTTTCCGCTCTCCTTATAGCTTAGTATAATAAGTTATCCACTAAACGTTTGTCCATGTTAAAACAAATTTTTCTTGACAATGATTGGATTATTAATGATGTGCTTCACTTTCTTCTAGGAGCGGTGCAGACCTTTTAGGTCCTCTTCTTCCTGCTGTTGCAGAAATATGTTCGGATTTCGATCCTACTTCAAATCTGGAACCATCACTTCTAAAATTATTTCGCAATCTATGGTTCTATATAGCTCTTTTTGGCTTAGCACCTTCTATTCTGAAAACGCCGCGTCCGGAAGTGAAGGCGACCTCTAAATCAGTGAACAATGCTGGAAGAATTAGTACATTCGCTCTACAAGCTGTAGAAGGGCCTTACATGTGGAACACTCAGTGGGCTCTGGCTGTTCAGAGGATTTCTCAGGGCACTCCTCCCCTTGTAAGTTGTTCTAGCTACAGTATCATTTTACTGGTTCCATATCAGTCTTCTATATACTGAGGTTTGCATCTTCCATGAGATAGATACCTTGTCTGTGTTTTAATTTTAACTCATTGAGTATGTGCTCTTTGTAGGTCGTCAGTTCTGTAAAATGGCTCGAAGACGAATTAGAACTCAATGCGCTTCATAATTCTGATAGTTTCCGAAGAACTGGGAATAAGAAAGTAGCTTCAACCCATAGAATTGCTCTTTCAACTGCCTTGGGCGGCCGAGTTGACGTTTCAGCAATGCACACTATCTCAGGTAAAACAGATGTGATGTGTCTGACTTCAATATCTAGAAGTTTCCTTCTGTGAATCTGTTGAATGTTGTTAGCTTTAGATATAGTGCAATGTTGTTAAAATCCCTCTTAGTATAATGACTGAAATGGTTTGTTCTCTTTTTTGCAGGAGCGAAGGCTACCTATCTTCTTGCAGTAGCTCTTTTGGAGGTCACACGTTTTATTAGCAATGGGAGTATCCTTAATGGTGGCTCAAGTGTGTCTGCCTCTCGAAGTGCCTTCAGTTTCGTCTTCGAATACCTGAAATCTCCGAACCTCACGCCTGCTGTTTCCCAGTGTTTGACAGCAATTGTACATAGAGCCTTTGAAGCAGCAGTGTCATGGCTGGTATGTTATAATTTACATGGTTTTATTGATTTAGCCAATCTTTATATGTGACCTTTAGGTGGCAACTCTAGCCTGTATAGATATATAAGCATTTTGGTTGCTATGTTATGGACATTTTAATCTGGTTTCAGGAAGATCGGATACCTCTTACTGGGAAAGGTTCTAGTATTATAGATTTGGCAATGGACACACATGCATGTTTCCTCATAAGGAGTATGTCACAGAGAGATGAACACATACGAGATATCTCAGTGAACCTGTTGACTCAGATCAGGGACAAGTTTCCCCAGGTAGGAATAAATGACATCTGCTTGCTTTTGCCTTCATCAACTGTTCTTTTGGCAATTACTCAATTAATTTAACATGAACCAGCTAACAACGAGATATGCAGGTCCTCTGGAGCTCATCTTGTCTGGATAGTTTGTTATTCTCTGTTCATGACAATGCACCTTCAATGGTCATCAATGATCCTTCTGGGACTGCTGCCGTTCGATCTTTATACAAGAAAGTTGTTCGAGAATGGATCATAATATCACTTTCATATGCTCCATGCACTAGTCAGGGTTTGCTTCAGGTTTCCTTCTTTAAGCCTATTCTTATCTTCTTCTTTATGCTTAAAATTATTGTTTAGTTTCCTGTTACTTTTGAGTAAAATTAGATTCTTTTTATTGTTTCTTTTCTGGACTCTCTAGAGTGTTTGTTGCATGCATTTAATGATTTGTTGATTATGCATCTCAGGATAAGCTGTGTAAGGCAAACACATTGCAGCGAACACAAACTACAACTGATGTGGTTTCTCTTCTAACTGAGATAAAGATTGGAACTGGGAAAAATGAAATTTGGTCTGGTATAAATGTTCCAGCTGTGATGGCTGCAGCGTCTGGAGCAAATTCAAAAGCTTCTGAAGCCTTTAATTTGGATGTACTTGGTATTGGTGTAGTTAATGCAATGGTAAAGTGTAACTATACTGGACAAATTGCTGGCATGCTACGATTGGAGAACAGTAGTGGCAATGACACATTGATTTCCAATTCTGTGCGGCGCCTTCAACAATTTGTTAATACTGCTGAGAAAGGAGGAGAGACTGACAAGTCGCAGTTCCGAGAAACTTGTTCTCATGCAACTGCAGTACTTCTGTCAAATCTGGTAAGCAAGAACACATGGTGTTTGCCATATCTTCCTTCTAATTAGTATTTTCTAAGGTTACATTTTCTATTCTTTTATTATTGCAGCAGGCTGGTGAGCCTAAAACAGATATCGAGGGAGTTTCTCGTTTACTTCGTCTCCTTTGTTGGTGTCCAGCTTACATGTTAACTCTAGATGCTATGGAAACTGGAATATTCATTTGGACTTGGTTGGTTTCCGCTGCTCCACAAATGGGAACTCTTGTCCTTTCGGAGCTTGTTGATGCATGGATATGGACAATTGATGCAAAGCGAGGACTCTTTGCATCTGGTGTGCGAGACAATGATCCAGCTGCAAAGTTAAGGCCCCAACTTTCTCCTGGAGAACCAGAAGGTCCACCTGATAGTGACCCTGTTGATCAAATAATCGCTCACAGACTATGGCTTGGATTTTTGATAGATCGCTTTGAGGTTAGGCTTTATTCTATATACAATTATCCATATCAATTTTATGTAGGCTGTATACCTCTTCTGCTTTAAAAAGGTAAGGCGATCGAAAGTACATATCACTAGTAGCTGAGTTTTTCTTGTGATCTTAGTTTAATTGACAATTAAGGAAACATCAATGCAAAATTTGATTCAGATAAGGTGTATTTGAGTGATTGTGTTTCTTATTCCTTCCATGTTTCGTTAGGTTGTTCGACATAATAGTGTGGAGCAACTCTTGTTGTTTGGTCGGCTGTTACAGCGGAGTACAAATCTTGAATGGTCCTTTACCCACCACCCGGCAGCGGCTGGTACCTTTTTTTCCTTGATGCTCCTTGGACTGAAGTTCTGCTCATGCCAAAGACAAGGCAATAAGCATAAATTAAGACATGGAGTCCAGCTATTGGAAGATCGAATCTACAGGTGACTTTTTGTTATTCCCGCTGTTTTTGTTACATTGTAGATTTTGCTTGGCTAAACATATTGAACTGTTTGGTAGTTTAGATTGAGAGTAGCTTTATGCTCTAATCATCTCTTAAATTTATCGAGATTAGACATCCAATAATGTTACATAGACCATCATTAATTCACCCTTGTTTTAAGTATGTGTTAATAAGAATTTCGTCTATCCCCAGGACTTCGTTAGGCTGGTTTTCTCGTCAGCCAGAGTGGTATGATGTAAACATTCCGAACTTTTGTCAGAGTGAGGCTAAATCTGTTTCAATTTTCGCTCAGTTTTTGTCGAACGATCGATCAGACAATTGCCAATCTGATTCCAAAGGACGAACTCATGAAAACGGGAACTTAACTGATGTGGTATGATAACTCTCTTCTTTATTTTTCTACTTTCATACGAAGTATGTGGTACTTCATTTGAATGCAAACTATGAAATTTATTTGGGGTGCATGTTTACAGATTGATCACTATCATCCTGTCTGGGGTGAAATGGACAACTACGCATTGGGAAAGGAAAAAAGGAAGCAACTGCTTCTAATTCTTTGCCAACATCAATCTGATAGGCTTGACGTTTGGGCACAACCTATTAGTCCAAAGTAAACAGATCCTCTTTATGGTGTTCTACTTATTAGGTTTTCTTTTTACCTACATTGTTGATATTCATTCTTTCAATTTGCAACTTTTGTACAGGGACAGTCCATCTTCACGGTTAAAAATAAGCTCCGGGAAATGGACCGAACATACCAAAACTGCCTTTTCAGTGGATCCAAGGATTGCGATATCGTTAGCATCACGATTTCCGACAAATATTGCTGTGAAATCGGAAGTCACTCAGCTAGTTCAGGTACGATTTACAAAGGTTATGAAGAAAGACATA